TCTCATCTATGCTCTTCCTTCCTACATAGGGTCATTTGATTATAGTCTCCTTCTCTTGATCTTAACTATTAAGGTCTCCTTAGATGACACGTTTCATGGATTGCTGATAAGGGGACCTTCGATTGTGTTGGCAGTCATCAACATGAGAAAGTGGTTTGATTAAAATATATTTAATTTAATATATATATATATATATAAAATGATGGTGGCGGCTGAGGAGGGAAGTGTTCTGCTAGGGTTTCTGGAGGGATGAAGTTTGGAGGCTGCTGGCTGAAGAGGTGCTCTAAGGTGTTTGTTTGTGGATGTTATTTCCTTTCTGGCTTCTTCTCCAAGTAGAGGTGGATCTTTGAGTGTATTTTCTGCTGGATTTTACTGTTCCATTGGTTCTCCCCTTGGCTACTCTATAGTTGTTGGTCTCTGTTCAGACATGGCCACACCTATTGATGCTGCCACTGACTCTCTTTGGATGAAGGAAACTTATGCTAGGGTTGTTGGAAACTCTACTAATGTTTTACAGTACTTGGATCATTTGGTTTTCCCTCAGGAATTTCATGACACTGCTGCAGGAAAAGGAAGCTGCCCTTGCATCCATCCACTTGGATCCAAGGAGGGAGAAACTGTTGTGTTCTTTACCAACAGAGAAATAACCTCTCTAAAAGAAGATGTGAAGTTTACCTTAATAGGGAAGTTTCAATTGTGACACCCAAGAATGGAGCTAATTAGAAATTTCTTTGAATCACTTAAATTTATTGGTAATTGGAAGATAGGGCTGTTGGATGGAAGGCATTTACCCATCCAATTAACTATTGAGGAAGACTATGCCAGACTTTTTGCTAAACAATCTGTAATCATTGCTGGAACTACAATGAAAATTGTAAAATGGACCCCTGACTTTGATCCAAGTAAAGAACCACCAGTTGTTCTTATTTGGTACAAATTCCCTGGGCTTCCACTTTCTTTCTTCAAATTGAATGCACTGTTTAACATAGGGAGAGCTCTGGGAACACCTTTGAAAGTTGATTCACCCACTTACAACAAAGCCAGGCCAGCATTGGCCAGAATACAAGTGGAAAGAGGCATCACCCTCCCTGAAGTGAAAAGAATCTGGATTGGCTCAGATAATGATGGTTTTTGGCAAAATATTGCCCCTGAACAGAAGCCTTATTACTGCCAACACTGTAGAATGTTTGGCCATACAGTTGAAAGATGCTACAGAGTACATCCACCAGTTAAGAGAAACACTGGTAAAGATTATAAGGAAACAGGCAATATAGCACTACAAGCTAAAGCAAATTCTACTAAAGATACACAGCTGAACAACAGGAAGGATGACACTCAAAGAAATAAAGATTCACTCCCAATCACTAAAGAAAAATCTTCACCAGTGGAACCTTCAGGTGTGCCAACAGAAGGTTCCCCTACAAACAGAAACAATGGGACTGCCTCTACCAATATTATCAGAAAGGAATTTCAAGAAATCACTACAGTCACACCCTCACCTTCCCCTATAGGGGGAGAACAGTCAGAAATTCATAGCATGGCACCTGAGGATCAGATCATTGCTGGTATTCAACAGGCAATAGAAGATGATTGGCAGGTACAAACAGCTAGAAGAAAAAGAAAACAAACAAATGAAGTTCAGAAATTACAGCTGGGAGGATCTAAACAGGGTGAGAGTAAAATCAATCTCAAAATTGGTTCTCCCCATCTACATAAAGGAAGAACCAGGTCAAGATCACAACCCTCATTACCAATCCAACAGACAAATGATTAATATCCTTTGTTGGAACATTATAGGAATTGACAATCCCCTCTCCCTTAAAAGAGTCTCCACAAATATAAACCTTGGTGCATTGTGATCCTAGAGCCTATGGTTCACAAAAACCATCAAAAGCTTACCAAGAAATTCCCTAGATTCAGTAACTATGCTAATATCAATAATAAAATCTGGATTTTTTGTAGAAAAGAAATCAGATGGAATATTATGGTCAATCATCAACAATTTGTACATTTTAAGTTTAACTTTGGTGGCCATGTGGGATTTGCTACCTTCATTTATGCAGGTTGTAGCAAGGAAGCTAGAAAGTAGCTGTGGAGTTGCCTGTCAGATATCAGTCAGCTGATGGATTCCCCCTGGATTGTGGGGGGAGACTTTAACAGCATTGCCTCTACTGCTGAAAAAATTGGGGGTAGAGCCCCTGACCTTAATAAGATGAATATGTTCACTGATAATATCCACAGGGCTGGATTGTTTGATTTGGGATACAAAGGTCCTGCTTTTACTTGGAAGAGGGGAAAAATCTGGGAAAGACTTGATAGGTGTCTGGTCAATGATAAATGATATAATCATTTCCTTCTCACTTTTGTTACTCATCTTAGCCTTGGTGGTTCTGACCACAGACCCATCCTTATCAGCATCACCTCCTCATAAAATACAGCTTCCCCCTCCCCATTTAGATATCTAAATATGTGGTCTTCTCATCCCTCTTACAATCCTTTCATTGCCAATCTTTGGTTTGGAATGGGATTACACGGGATTACACATTCTGATCCTATTATCAAACTCAGCCTATTACAGATCAAAACTGCTAAAGCACCGAGGAGTTGGAGTTGGGAGACTTTAGGGCATGTCCTTACAAATGCGCAGGAATTGGAGAAGGAAGTCCAAAGAATAAAGCAACTTGAACAGGAGGGTTTAGCTGAGGAAAAAGACCTACTAACTGCCCAAAATAAGCTTCTTACTGCCATTGAGTACCAAGATCAATATCTAAAGCAAAAAGCTATGATGCTGTAAACTACTTCAAAAAACTGTTGACTCAAGAGAATAATCATAGATGCCCCATTGATCCAGAATTGTTCAGTGATGATAAGGATTACACTGCCAATCTAAAACTAGCTGATATTCCTGATGAAGGGGAGATTTGGAAGGCTATTAACTCTATTGATAGTAGCAAAGCAGCTGGTCCTGATGGTTTCACAGCTAAGTTTTATAAGAAATCATGGAACATTATTAAGCCTGAAGTGATTGATGTTGTAGCCAGTTTCTTTCAAGGAAATAATCTCCCAAAGTATTTCAGTGCTTCTACATTTGTGCTGATCCCCAAATCAGAGATACAAACCACATGGAATCACTTCAGACCCATTTATCTAACCACTGTACTCAGCAAAGTGATCAGCAAAATCGTTGTCAATAAACTCCAACCTCATCTTGAACATATTATAAAGCCCAACCAGACTGCATTTGTGAAGGGGAGATCCATTATTGACAACACTCTATCGGCATAGAAACTTCTGCATGACCTGAATAAGACCTGCAGAGGTGGCAATCTGATATACAAATTGGATTTGAAAAAGGCTTATGATACTATAAGCTGGGGATTCATCTTGGATGTTCTTGTTGCTTGAGGATTTCACTCTGACTTCTGCCAGCTGATACATAGATGGCTTCACAACAATGATAATTCTATTCTCATAAATGGCAAACGCTTGGGTTCTTTTACTGCATCCAAAGGTTTGAAGCAAGGGGGTCCCCTATCCCCCACTGTGTTCATTATTGCAATGGATTATTTGTCTAGAATGCTTGATGACTCCATCCCAAATCAAAACTATACTATTTACCATCATAGATCCAACATTGCCATCACTCACTTGATCTATGCTGATGATATCATGGTTTTCTCTAGAGCACACAAAAATGCTGTTAGGAAAGTGTATCAAACTCTTCAAAGATTTCAAACGCAGTCTGGTATGTGTTTTAGCTATGAAAAGTGACTGTTGATCTTTAATAAGCATACTAAACATAACTGCAAACAGTGGGTTTCTAGCTATACTGGCTTCTCTAACTCTCAGCTTCCTATCAAATATTTGGGAACTATGCTGCTTACTGGTAGGACCAGGCAAATTCAATTTGAAGATGTCATGGATAAGATCACTACCTACCTCAATGGGTGGACTCACTCCTTCCTTTCAAATGGGGGCAGAATCACTGTATCGAAAAGCATACTAACTACTTTCCCCTCTTATATCCTACAGGTGACTAACATCCAGAAAAGTACTCAGATACAGATTGAAAGAGCTTTTAACAGATTCTTATGGTCTGGACAGAGGCAGTAGATGCATTGGGCTTCATGGAAAAAAGTAGCTAAACCTCAACTGGCTGAGGGAATTGGGTTTAAGGGAATCAATCAGCTATTCCAAATAAACCTATGTAAGCTTTGGATTAAATTTAGAGCTCAGACTTCCCTGTGGGCTCTATTCATGAAGGGAAAGTATTGTAAAAATCAGCACCCCACCCTTGTTGAAAGGAAGTTAGGGGATTCTAAAATTTGGGGCAAAATGCTTCATATAAGACACATTGCTGAAAACTTATTCATTTGGGATCTGGGGAAAGGAGACTTAAATTTTTGGCTGGATAAATAGTGCCCTAAAGATTGGTTGTCCACTATTAGTAACAACCCAAACCCTGATCTCAAGGTGGCTGACTGTTGGGTGGATGAAGATTGGTAACTACTTAAACTTTCAGAAATTCTACATGCGAACTCCATAGAAAAAATTGCCAGCATCAACATCAATAGAAGTAAACCAGATAAAATTTTCTGGCAGTCCTTCTCAAATCAAAGCCTTACTAAAGCCATTTATTCCAAAATCTTCCAATGGGAACATCTATCCTGGAGCAAAATCATTTGGAGTAACTATCTATCCCCCCCTCCATGTCCTTCTTCTGTTGGAGGGTCTTTAACAATCTCATTCCTACTGATGGTATCCTTAAACTAAAGGGGCTGAGAGAACCTTTTGTATGCAAGTTCTGTAATCAGGAGGAGGAATCATTGCTACATCTTTTCTTTAAATGCAATTTTGTGCAGGCTGTATGGCATCAACTGCTAACCCAATTGAACATTGACAAAAATCTCTTTACCTGGGATAACATCACCACTTGCTGGCAGTCTTGGAACAATTGGAACTATGCTCCAATACCTCTTATTGCTGCATGATTCACTTGGATGGAAAGAAATAAGGTTAAGTTCGAAGAAGGCAGACCAAAAACTGAGAGGGTAGTCATAAACAGCATTTCTCACCTTAATAAGATGATTGAATACAAAAGATTTTCCAACATCTCCAAGTCTTACTCTTTGGGACAACCTGACAAGAAATATGTTCATAGGTTTTTTTGGAACCCTCCTGATCATCAAACAGTAAAGGTAAATACTGATGGAAGCTTCAATAAGACAGGTGCAGGTGTTGGGGGTGTCTACAGAAATCACCTTGGGCAATGTCTATTATACTTCCACATCCCCATTGAGGCTACTGATGCTGTTGAAACTGAACTAATGGTTGTTTATTGGGCTTTGAAAATTGCCAAAATGGCTAGCTGGACAAAATTATGGGTTGAAGTAGATTCTACTGCTGTTATCAAGATATTGAGGGATGATGATCTTATACCCTGGCACCTTATCTATTGGACCAAAAAGATTAGAGAAATTTCATCACTGATAAATGTACAGTACACTTTTATCTTTAGAGATGGCAATCAGCCAGCCAATTGGCTTGCCATACAAGGGTACAATTTACAAGAGTTATCTGTTGTTGTCTCCCCTCTTCGTACCCTTCAGTTTCTACTGCAGGGTGACAGGTTAAAGGTCCCATATTTCAGAATTGCTAACTAAGAGCTAACATGATTGTTCACTTCCTGCTATGATCTCTCTCTCTCCCTCTCCCTCTCCCCCAATCTATTCTAAGGTTTTCTGTATTACATGCTAGCTGGGATCTATGTCTTTCCCTGGCAAAATTTTGTTGTTAACATAGATTGTATTGATTTTTTGGGAGTACTTATGATTCCTGTATTGAATCATTAAGTCTCCATTTGTCTTTCCCATCTTGTAACCCTCTTTTATCAACATGTAGGGAGATTTATACATCTCCTTTTTTTTAAATATATATATATATATATAGATATATATATATAGAATGGTGCTGGCGGCTGAAGCTCTGCTAGGGTTTCTGCGACCATGAATGCAGCTGGCCTACTTTCTGGCTGGAAACTCCTTCTTGCTGGGTGAATTTGTGGTGGAGTAAGTTTGGAGCTGCTTCTAAGCTTACTGAATCTGTTACGGTTCTCTTTTCTGCTTCCCGGGCTCATTTATTTCAAAAAGTTATTGTTCTATTGTTGTTTTGTGAGGGTTTTTTCAAAACCCTCCCAATGGATAATCCTATTGATCTTAATACAAAAATTCTGTGGGCAAAGGCCACCATTGCAGATGTTGTAGGAAAGAGCTCTGACTTTCAAGGTGATGTTGAACATATGGTGTTCCTTAGTTCTTACCATGAAGGTGTTAGAGATAGTGAGTTCCCCTTCATTAAACCTCTTACTAAGAAGGCTAGCAAAGTGGCTACTATTTTTTTTTATGCTAATATTTCCTCGTTATCTTTGTACTTTAAGTTTATACTTATTGGTAAATTTCAATATGGGCACCCTAAGATGGAGGCAGTGAGAAAACACATTGAAGATTTAAAGTTACGTAGTGATTGGAAGGTTAGTTTAGTGGATGGAAGACATATGTTCATTCACCTTTCTAGGGCGGAGGACTATGCAAGAATTTTCTCCACACATATTCTTTATATTAAAGGTATAGCTATGAAGATCCTAAAATGGACTCCTAATTTTTTATCCTAACCAGAACCAGCCATTGTGCCTATTTGGTTCAAGCTGTCAGGACTAAAACTTCATTTTTTCCATCATAGTATGTTGTTTACCATTGGTACTGCTTTGGGCAGGCCACATAACCTTGATGTCCCAACTTATAACTTGTCTCTCTCCTCAGCTATAAGATTATTGGTGGAGAGAGACATCACACTGGCTGATGTTGATGAAATTTGGTTGGGTACTACCCATAATGGCTATTGGCAGATGTTGACCTCACTTTTGGTTGAGGTTTAGTTTTTTCCTCTTTAGTAGCCTAAGGTCTAGCCATAGGACTTTTCTATTAACTATTCTTAGAAAAGTAGAAAAAGCACCCTCACAACTAGAAATTCTACCATCTTCTTTGCTCAATTTGAAGTTCCACGTATTGATTCTAACCTCTAATTACTTAGTAGGTGGGGTCACTATAAGGGAAACTCAAGATGAGTCACCCTTCGGACTGCTGGACCTTAAGGTTGACCCTGGGTGTTGGTCTGGATCTAAGGCACTCACTACACTCATCTATACTCACAATCACTCATAACCCTAAACTCAAATTTATAGCCTAGGTCCCTTGATCTTTTTGGGATACTCATGTAGATGGTCCCCTAAACCTACCGGCCCTAGGGCTATGGGTTGACTAAGACCAGTACATAGAGGACCCAAAATGGGATTTCCTTTGGTCCATGGCTCATTTAGGGTGATTAGTTACCCAATTCTATCAAAAATACCTTTCTTGGCCTTTTGCCCCTAAACACCCCCAAATTGCCAAAATACCCCTCCATAGCATAAAATTTCAAAAATTCAAAACATTCCTAGAAAATCTCAATAAATTAAATATTCCTAATTTCATTTTTCTCAACTATCACATGACCCAATTTGTCCAATTTGACCATATTTAACCAAAGCCCACAAATTTTCCTTTAAGGGCCCAAATTTCCACAAATTCAACTCAAATGTCCATCAATTTGATCTCAATTGACCACAATTCCAATACTAAAATCAAAATAACTTTTGATATGGCCTAGTTAAACCAAATCCAAGCTTAATTGGCCCATGATTTGAGCCTAATTCTAATTTAGGTCAAAACCCCAATTTTGACCATATGACCTAATCTCACCAAATTGAATGCATACCCTAGTCAATTAGCCCCAATTAATGTTACACAATCTTCATAAAATTCCTACATATCAAAATCAACTATCAATTGGCCTTGGTGAAGCCTCAAATCCATTTGATTTTGGCCTAAATCCTAAATTTCCAAATTCAGCCCCAAATTGGCTAAGTCCCCAAATTTCACCCAATTGATTCACGCTAAGTCCCCAAATTTCACCCAATTGATTGCATTAACCCCAAAATTGGCATCCAATTCATGTTTAAGGCTCTTCATAGGATCCCTAATGACCATTTACAACAATCAATTTGGACTTAACCCAAGGCTACCCCAACCTAGATCCAAGCCTACCCCAACATGACAAAATTGACTAAAATTCAAAATTCCCTCAAATTGACCCTTCAATTGAGCTCAAAACCACTTCCATCCTTCACCAAAGTTGTTCCTTATGATAATATACACCAAATTCAACATTGATTTGGCTCAATTGACATGGAAAACCTAGATCAAACCCAAGATTTCATCATTTGCACCCACTTGGACCCATGCACTAAATGTGACCTAACCACCATAAAGGCACCAAATTAACTCCCCCAAAGCCATTAGTTGGACCTAGTGACCAGTTCAAACACCATGAAACCACTTGAATCAAGCTATGGACTAAAGGTCCCCCAAATTAAGGGATACTGTTTCCAACAATGCATGTGCTTGAGATATCCTTACCAAAATTAGGTATCATTGCACTAAATTGTTGTGACATATTCCCTTGGGTTCCCTAAGCTCCTAGCCACCTCTCCCTGGCCGGTCGGCGAGACTAGTGGCCAAAAAAGTTCAAAATGGAGAGCCACCCCCATGGCACCTCACCCAAATCAAACCTAGAGGCCACCTCAGCCAAATTAATTGATGGAGCTCCTCTGCCCTCCACCTATGCACCACAATGCACCCAAACTTATGCCCTGAGAGCCACCCGATGGCCATTTTTATAAAAAAATCCCCTCTAAGACCCTGGGAGGTGTGCTGAAATTTTCTCAGAGAGGCTTCTCCAAACTTCTCACAGAGCTTCCTTAAGATCCCCTCAGTGCATTTCAACTATTTTCCCCTACTAACTCTCATTGTCGGAGCTCAATTTTGAGTTTGAAACCTTACCGAAAACCAGGACAGAACCTAATACACCTCCACAGTCCACGAAACCTAAATTAACTGCACCCACACCTTCATAATAGTGAAAGAAGATAAAGCCCCATCATAAAGCCCCATCAAATCCCCATCCCCCTTCCACAGAGCCTCTTCCATAGCTCTAGACCAACACTCGAATTTGAGCTTGGTTCAATCCACACCTAGGCCTTATACCAAAACTAGGGAGTCAATCCCTAGTCTCCTTAGACCCTAAGGAATGTGCCAAGAACCTCTGATTGAAGCTTCAATTCTCAGAGCAAAGGTATAAAACCTCACCTCCTCCCGAGCCTATTTCGATTCTCAATTTGCTGAACGTTAATTTGATTGCTTAATTACCATATGGATGTGTTCTTCTCACTTAGACAAGTATATAGGATCAAACCCAAAGTGATTTGGTTGACTCTAGGCTGAGATCTTAGGGTTTTAGTGTGGACGGTCACGGGATCAATCTATCGGGGATGATGACAGGGAGCCGTTTGATCAAGCGTGTATGGAGTGGAAGGAGGAGATCAAGCTGGACAGCGCTTCGGGACATAAATCGCGGGCCGAGTCAGCAGCTACGTGGACGGCGGTGTCCAACCAAAGCGCGCCACTCATGCCTTCGGAGCTGCCTAGGATCTAATTAGTACGCGCGATTTAAATAGATAAATAGGGATTTTTCTTATTTATTTAAATACCCCTAACTTAGAAAATTCATAACTTTATATAGAAAAATCAAAAAAATAAGATAAAAATACCTCTTGCTCAGTGAACAGAGAACAAAAATGTGGAATAAATTTCAAGTGCATTTGATGCATATTTTATTTTTAGTTCATTAAACACTATTTCAAATCATTTGATTCTCCATGCATATTGACACATCACCTTGGCTTGAAATTTTGGCATGTTGTAGCCTCTACCAAGGGGAAACACCCTCTAATTTTTCTAAAGTGAGAGGAGGTTTCTGAACAGAGATCCATATTTTTCAAGTTTTTGCACATTATTTACTTAAAATAATCATAAAAATTAGCATGTTAATTAAAAAATTCCAAGAAAATTTTGATTTCAAGAAAATTTTGGAAGGTCCACTATGACCAGAAAAGCTTTTGAAAATAATTTCATGGGTCAAGTCATTTAAAATATACCAAATTTTCACAAACCTTAAATCAATAAGATAATTAATTTTGGAAAATATAAACATTTAAATGAATTTATTTTTAGTCTCCACTATGGCTCCTGATCTAGATTACTCTCGATAAAAATTTCAAAATATTTTGAGTTTATTTGATAACTTAAGTTGATTTTTAAGGATAAACATTACTTTGGGCATTTAAATGATTTTTAAAACATCTAAATACAATTCAAAAAATTATGAAACTTAATTTTTTTAACTCTCTGTGATTAGGGGAATTTTCTGAAAATAAAATCATATTTAAAATAAAAACTTGACTTTTAACCTATTTTAAATATTTAAATAATTAAAAATTCCTAAAAATCACAATAATAATAAAACTCATGAAAATGTTCTAAATTTATTTCTAATCACTTAGGAACAATTAGAGTATTTTTCCTGGTTTTTTAAATAAAGATATTGAATTTTAAAGCTTAAAAATGATTTTTAAAGGCTAAAAATGAGTTTTTATTAAAATAATTCCAATAAATCAAGAAAGTTCTTAAAAATATAAAATATTCTTCTTTGAGTTCTCTGATCTCACGGA